GCTCCTCCCAAAGAAATATGAACTTTAATGTTGATTGTGGATTTGTGGCGACTTTTGTTTTTAACTTTAATGTTGATTGTGATTTGTGGCATATGAATTATGATTATGTTTGGAACTTAAATTCATTGTTAATGCTTGATTATGTTTTTGAATTGAAATTTGAAAATAATGATTTGAATTGAAATTAATTATTTAATTTAGGGAAAATGACATTTTTTTTACCCCTGAATTATATACTTATATACTTATAGCACTTTTTTCTCCTGAATTATTTAAGTGGCTTTTTTTTTTTTCACCTGAAATGTTAAATGGACATATTTACCCTTAAAATAAATATTTCATTTTTTTTCCAACAAATTATTACTATAATTTGGTTCAAACCAAACAAATACTATAGCAACCAAACCAAAATATTCCAATTACAATTTATAATCAAAATGCGATATTTAGAGTTTATTAAAATCGCGAACCGGAATGGCCGGTTCATGTTCCGAACTGAAAAAATAAAACACATTTATTGTTGAATTTAGACTATCTTAAAATAAAAAAAAAAAAATTTAAAGTAAAGACGGTTCAAAATCGCGAACCAGATCCGGAACCGCCGGTTCAGGGTTCATGATTCAATTTTTTTTTATTCTTAAATTTATTAAATTGAAATCCAAATATTGGGTTCTAGGTCTGAATCATAATCGAAAACTTTTAATTCGATTGCTATAGTGTCTGGTTCAGTTCGAACCGAATCGTGGTAATCGCTACATTACGCAATAATTTATTGGAGAAGTAAAATAAATAAAATGTTTACTTTAAGGGTAGAAATGTCAATTTAATATATTAGAGGGAAAAACCACCACTTTTAAAATAATTGAGGGGGCTAAGAGCATCCACACTAAGGGGAGAATGTGGAAATAATGTCAGATGCTTTCTTTTGAATGGGGTGAATAACTAGTGTGGAGAAGAAAGAATGGTGGGAAGAATTGCTCTGCAAATATGGGGAGCATAGGAAAAAAAAATTAAAAAATTAAAAAAGAAAGATCACATGCTGTGCGCGTTTGGCGCACAGCATGGCACAGCCAGGTGCGTGCAGTGCACGCGCCAGGCTGTGCGTCAAGCGCGCCGGCATACTTTTCTTTTTACATTTTTTATTTATTATTATTTTTTTTTTTGATTTTGATTTTCTTTTTTTTTTTCTCCCATTCTCACATTCTCTTTCTTAATCACTTTTACATTATCCCCAAATTCTCCCCAATCATTGTGGATGCTCTAATGTGCTTACATAAATAATTGAGGGAGAAAAAATGCTATAAATATATAACTTAGAAGGTAAAAGTGCCATTTTCCCTTAAATTTAACTTGAAATAAATAAATTTAGTTTATTTTAATTTATTAAATTTGAAAATAAGTGGATACTCACTCGCATTCTTTTTATTTTATTTTAGTTCATTAATTTAGTCCGCTGAATAAATTCGAGTACACGTCAGATTCTGGCTTGCGCCACAAACTTTAGCCTCCGCACGCCTATTTCCTATGTTCTTTGCTGTTTTTATTTTATTTTTTAATTTTTTTAATTTTTTACCACCGTGCAAGTTGTAAATGGTTAATGGCTTGTCTATTAAAAATAAGATAATAGAGTTAATAGTATTAAAAAATATAAGGTACTTTCTATCTTTGTGCAACTGTGCCTCTCATTCTCTCTCTTTCACCCTTCATAATTTTATTTCTCAAAAAACTTGACAATAAGGATTACTTATGAACTTTTTTTTTTTTTTTTTTTTTTAAATTTACTTTTCGTATTATATTGAATGACATATGTAATATTTTTTAGCAAATTGTAATTTTTCTTTATAAGTTGACAAATATTTTTTTATTAATGTTTTTTGAGAAAGAAGTATGGAGTATTAGTTTTCGGTGAAAATTTAATATTCCGTATATAGAAAAATATTACTCTATGTTCTACTTGTACTATTCATTAGTCAAATTGATTCTTTATTCTTTACGTATTTTCTATAATATTTTCTCATAATTTTTAAATGTGATTTTTTTGGTTTAATACTTCATTTGTCTCATTTTGTTTGTCTAGTTCCGTTAACAAAGCTTAACCGGAGTTATTTTTAATTCAATCTTTCATAATATTATGTTTAGTGTTAGTATATCAAATTTATAAATTTAGAACTACTTCAAAAGTACTATTAAACAAAAAAAAAAATCAAATTTAAAAATAGTTAAAATTACTAAGGAAAAATTGTAAAAAATTCCCCTCTATAATATGCCAATTATCAATGTCACCCATGAATTATGAGTGGTATAAATGTTGCCCCTCAATTATCAAAATAGTGCACATATAGCCCCTCCCGTAACGGACCTGTGGTTCCCCACCGCTGTCCATTGCTGGTACTTTGAATTGAGGGAGGGAAAAAACAACTAAATTACATATTTACTCCGACTTAACGGTGTCGTACACTAACGGGGAACCACATGTCCGTTACGGGAGGGGCTATATATGCACCGTTTTGATAATTGAGGGGCAACATTTACACCACTCATAATTCAGGGGTGACATTGATAATTGACATATTATAGATAAGCATTTTTTATAATTTTCCCAATTACTAAAGAAAATAAGTAATAAAGAAATAGTTATACCATGCACCACGGCGCACATAGCACTATGCCCCCGTGCCTCCCAAAACGACGTCGTTTTGGTAAGTTATGTAGGGGAGTTGACGTGATTATGTGTATTTGTTTATACAATTATGTGTATTTGTTTATACAATTATGTACATTCATGTATACAATTATGTGTATTCTAGTATAAAATTATGTACATTTTTGAACATGAGATTTTTTTTAAAAAAAAAATTAACCGCCAACACAGGGTAGCGAAATTTAAAAAAAAAAAAAAATCTGAAATGACGTCGATTTGCATCAGGGTGCACAATGCAAAGCGCAGCCTGGTGCACGCCTCTTTTAAGTGTTTCAAATTTAATCAATGATAAAAATATTTTGTTTGTCATATAATCTGTCTTTTTTTTTTTTATATTAATTCCATAATAAAATATCTAAATTTCGAATGCTATTTCCCATATCTAACAAAGAAGGATGATTATCACCCCACCATAACCTTGCTACTTCCCTACAAATGGTGGAAACTAAAGTAACTCCCAAAAAGCAATCAACCATCTCAGATTCACTTCTAACTACAATTCCTCTCACAACAAATGTCTCAAGATTACTTCTTAACCAATCAATGATAAAAATAAATCATATCATTATTCTTGGATGATCTAAGGTGAAATTAATTTGTGTGAGAATATTACTTGATATGAATGAATATTATATGGTAAATATGTTAACATTGGTGCGGTTATATTCTTTTGAGTAACGAGGAAAATCTGCAACTACTACTGAGGGTGTGCACTGGATAAATCCCGTCTTGTGATTATAGTCGGTAAAAGATTACAAGGAGTAACCAATTCAACCTAAGTAGCCAACTAAAATAAAGAAGGCCAATATGCCACACCTACTGATACAACCATAGGTTCCTGATGTTATTATTATTATTGTTATTGTTATTGTTATTGTTATTGTTATTGTTATTATAACCACTAATATAGACATTTCATGGGCATGTATTACACTTTGCAAGTAGTTGGGTTAGTGGGTGGTTTATATGATCTTGTATATATAGCCACCTATGCAAATGTATAAGGCAATGAAGAATATAGAGTTAATACCCAAAATCGTCCTCGACTATAGTGGTTTTTCTCAATTTCGTCCTCAACGACTTTGGTGACCTAATATCGTCCCAGACTTTTGTGTTTCGCTCAATTTAGTCCTCCATTTGTTATTCCGTCAAATTGGTGTTAAATAAAGGGACAATTCAGTAATGTCAATATTGATCTCTCTTTACTTTCAACTTGTGAAGTGCGAAATTCCTTTTTCTTGTACGAATTATACCCAGAATTACTCCCGGACCTGCAAATCAAATTTTATATTCACAGTTTTAGGAGTAATTCTGGGAGTAATTCATAAAAAAAAAAAGGGATTTCGCAGTTCACATGTCTATGAGTAAAGAGATGCCAATATTAAAATTACTGAATTGTCTATTTATTTAACGACAAATGGACAGAATAACAAATGAGGGACGAAATTGAGCAAAAACACAAAAGTCTGGGACTAAATTGAGCGAAACACAAAAGTCTGGGACGATATTAGGTCACCAAAGTTGTTTAGGACGAAATTGAGAAAAACCACTATAGTCGAGGACGATTTTGGGTATTAACTCGAAGAATATATTAATGGATGTTTGGTGACATCTCCTCCTCTCTTATCTCTCTTTTATGGAGTTTGACTATCACTCGAAGTATAGTCATTCGGAGTTGGGCTGCCATTCGAAGCACACTTATGTCTTTTTTCTCCTTCTTTCTAGAGTTAACTCTTGACTCGGAGAAGAGCAATCCATGCAATCTCGGGGTTGTATCACTTGCTAGTAGGGGTTATCATGATGAGTGAATAATTCACTTTAGATCAAAATAGATTGTTACAGAGGTAGATAAGAGATAGAGAGCTAATCTAACTAACCCTGTACAATAGCTAAAGGTTACCAGACTAAATCAAATACTATAAGACTAAGTCTAGTGTTACATTAATTGTACCAATAATTAATACTACTAACACACCCCCTCAAGCTGAAGGTGGTGAAGAAACAACATTTAGCTTGTCCATCAAAGAAGTGAAGCGAGCAGAAGCAAGCAGTTTGGTGAAGATGTCGGCCAGTTGATCTTTGGTAGACATAAAATTGACTAAGAACTCCCCGGTTGCAACCTTATCCCGAACAAAATGGTAATCAATCTCAACATGCTTGGTCCGAGCGTGAAACACCGGATTAGCGCACATGTATGTGGCTCCCAAATTGTCGCACCATAGAGTTGCGGGTGTACTGGAGTGCAGTCCAAGTTCCTGAAGAAGCGACATAACCCACGTGACCTCAGCAGCGACATCAGTCAGGCCCTTATACTCTCCTCAGCGGACGACCTAGCGACAGTTCGCTGCTTGCGTGACACCCACGACACAAGATTCGAGCCGAGGAAAACAACATATCCACTAGTTGACTTCCTATCTATGGGACACCCGGCCCAGTCGAAATCCGAGTAGGCGTGGACGTCGAACAATGGTGAAGCCGTCAACTGTAAGCCGTAGGTGAGCGTACCCTTCACGTAACGTAGAACCCGCTTGAGCATGCCCCAGTGCTCGTCAGTAGGAGCGTGCATGAATTGACAGAGCCTGTTTATAGCATAAGATAGGTCCGGTCGAGTGATGGTGAGATACTGCAGTGCCCTAGCCAGCCTACGGTATTGCGTAGGATTCTCATAAGGGTCCGTAGACGGAGATGTGGCTTTAGTCATTGCTGCTAGAGTGGAGAGAGACTTGCAGTCCGTTATGCCAGCACGGGTAAGAATGTCGTCCATGTACCGACGTTGCGAAAGTAACAAGCCACCATCAACAGGTACCGTCTCAATGCCGAGAAAAAGGTCGGAGTTCCCAGGTCTCGGATCTTAAAAACCGCCGACAACAGCCTAGCAGAGTGGTCAACAGAGCTGAACCATTACTCATCATAATAATATCATCTACATACACTAGGAGATAGATACGTGAGGTATTCGATGTATAATAAAAGAGGGATACATCAGTTTTAGAAGCTACAAAACCTGTTGACAAGATAAACTCGTGGAATCAATAAAACCAGGCCCTTGGGGCTTGCTTAAGGTCGTATAAGGACCACTGTAGGTGACATACATAGTCTGGGTGTACCGGGTCTTCATAACCGGGTGGTTGCCGCATATAGACAGTCTTTGTAAGACGCCCATTCAGAAAGGCGTTGTGGACATCTAACTGCCGCAGGGTCTACCCACGAGAGACGGCAAGAGAGAGCAAGATGCGCACCGTAGTCAGTTTGACAACGGGACTAAAGGTCTTAAAGAAGTCCTCACCGGCTACCTGATTGAACCCCTTGGCGACCAAGTGGGCCTTGTACCGGTCAACCGTCCCGTCAGCCATACGTTTGGTGCGATAAACCCATTTACACCCGACTATATTCATGCCAGGCTTGGCCGGGATGAGACTCCAGGTATTATTATGTAGAAGGGCATTGAACTCCTGATCTACGGTATCCCGCCAGTGTGAATGTCCAACTGGCTGACTGTAGCACGTTGGGTCTACGGTAGCCGTGAGAGCTTGAAAAGGCTCATCTGTACCCCGTGTCATGTGGCGAAGGCACATGACGTGACCCCGCTCTTGGGGTTGTGCCCGAACACGTGACCGAGCCCGTGGCTGGCGAAATGGAACAGTGGCAGCCGACATGGAACAGTGGCAGCCCCCGGGTGGTCTTGAATGGCTAAGGAAGGTACATGAACTACCATGGGTGGTTCATCTAGCGGTACCAAGGGTTGCTCATGAGGTACCAAGGGCCTAGACGCCCAGGGTGTGGTAGTTCCTGAGTCCATTGACCCCACCTTGCTTTGTGTACCTGTTGCATAGGGAAAAACATTTTCATCAAACCGAACATGGCGACAGATGAAGGTCTTTCCAGATATTAGGTTCATGCACCGATAACCCCTATAGGACGTAAGGTAACCTAGGAAGACGCAGTGTGTGGAGCGGTACTCTATCTTATGGCGATTGTAAGGCCGTAGATAGGGGTAACACTTGCACCCGAAAACCCGAAAAAAGGTGTATGGTGGTGTTTTTTTATAGATAGACTCATAGGGACTGACATTATTGATTGCATACGACGGTAGGCAATTAATTAGGAATGAGGCAGTTTCAAAGGCATAGGCCCAGTGTTGTATGGGTACTGAGCTTTCTGCGAGTAGGGCTAGCCCGGTTTCAACAACATGTCTGTTCCGGCGCTCTACTCGATCGTTCTGCTCATGCGTATAGGCACAAGACTGCCTATGCAGAATCCCAAGATTTTGAAAGGTTGTATGCAAACGGCGATATTCGCTCCCCAAATTGGATTAAACAGACTTGATAGAACGCGAGAATTGGCGTTCTACCATGACTTGAAAAGACTCGAATATTTTATAAATGTCTAATTTTAACCGCATCGCATAAAACCAGCAAAAACGAGTACAGTCTTCGACAAATAACACAAAGTAACGAAATCCCTCGGCTGAAACAACGGGTGCCGGGCCCCAAATATCAGTGTACAAGAGATAAGTACATTATTACTACGGGAATTAACTCTATCTAACGAGAATCGAGAGGATTTCCCGAGTTGACACGACGAACATAGCCGGGAACCGTTTGATTTGGACAGAGCGACCGGACACTTTAGCAACACATGACGCTAAGCACGCTCATGTGGATGGCCAAGCCTGCGATGCCAGACATCGGACGTAGCACGAGCGGTTATTAACGCAACTGGTGACCGAGACAATGATAGACAGTAGAGACCCCCCATGGTAGGACCCCTAAGGATCACCGCCTTGGTTTGACAATCATTCACAAGAAAATGATCACAGTGAAACTCAAAATAAACGTTATTGTCAATGACAAACCGATTAACAGACAATAAGGGTAAGGACAGATCAGGCACATGTAAAACATTGTTTAATTGTAACAGCTTAGACACAGAATTTAACGATGCATGGCCAATATCAGAAATACCCAAACCTGAACAGTTTCCCACCTGGAGCACATCACCACCGGAGTATGGCTCGGAATGAGTGAGCATCGCTGGATCGGGCGTGGCGTGCGAGGAGGCCCCGGTATCCGGGTACCACGCGTCGACCGTCGCTGGCCCTTCATCGCCGACGACTGCTGCATGAACCTGCGCCGGCGGCTGGCCGGAATACCGCCGGTAGAAGTACACTGCCGTATGCCCCTGGGAACGGCAAATTTGACAGCGGGGAACACCACCGCAGCCTCTGCCGTTGTTGTTGCGTCCTCGTCCACCACCACGGCCTCGCCCTTGACCGGAACCCGCATGCCGAGGGCCGCCACTGTGGTGGTGATTCTGACCACGGTCGACCGCCAAAGCCGTATGGGACCTGCCGGCAGAAACTGCAGCACCGGCAAAGAACTCATCCGCTCAGATGAATTCTTGGGCTTGGAGGAAGTCCGACAGTTAGGGAATGGAGACCGGAGTGCCCAACGCCGCAAGTGATGATGCCATTGATCTGAATTCCGGCCTGAGTCCCGGGAAAACATACAAGTTTTGCTCGTCCAGCGACACGGTCCGGCCAGCGACGCCAAATCTTCGACCAACAATTGAGCTCGCCCGAGATACTCGCCCGGAGAACTGTCACCTTGGCGTAGCAACTGGAATTGAGCGAGGAGGTTGAGACACCTAGCTCGTGTGGATGACCCGAGAGCCGCCGTGACGGAGGTCCAAACCCCATGCGAGGTGCTGCGACCGACTGCCAAGTAGAGGACCTCGTCGGACATGGATGAAATTAACAGCGATAGAATGGACTGGTTCTGTTGCTCCCATAGCGCATGTGCCGGATTCGCCGTCGTTGTCGAGGCCGTCCCTCCCAAGCCGTCGTCGCTTGTCGCCGGAGCAGTCACAGTGGCTGGTGGACATGGGGTGTCGCCGGTCACGAACCCGAGGGGGCCTTGTCCTCTCAGAAAAGGCATCAACTGGGTGCGCCCAGAACAGGTAGTTTTTGGTGGTGAGCTTCATCAACACAAAATGATGTGCCGTGGATAGGGTGTTCGGGGTGGACGGGGAGGGGAGGGTGGCGGCAGTCACGGTTCTTTCACTGGAATTCGACGACATAGTTTCGGGAGAGGAGAGAGAAAAAGATCACCTAGCTAACTGATACCAGATGAGTGAATAATTCACGTTAGATCATAATAGATTGTTACAGAGGTAGATAAGAGATAGAGAGCTAATCTAACTAACCCTGTACAATAGCTAAAGGTTACAAGACTAAATCAAATACTATAAGACTAAGTATAGTGTTACATTAATTGTACCAATAATATAATACTACTAACAAGCATCGGTCGACTTTCAGTTAATAATCAAAATTTTAACTGAACCTTCATAACTGACCAAAAACTGACCGACCAGCCCCAATAACCAACATAATCGAAACCGGCGATTTTGTAAAATAGCTAAATTTATTTTATTTATTTGACTAATACTAAAGGACTAAATTATTAAAGCAAACAAATAATATCTTAGTATTTATAATCCATTAAAATTAATGTCCTCAAATACAATATTAGTTTTGTGAGATGTAAATAGACTATATTTATACATTATATAGTTAACAAATGCAATGCAATCCAATAAGTCACTAAAATTAATATGATGGGTTGTGGACTTACAAAACGTAAATGGGATGTTGTTAAAAAAAAAAAAAAAAAAAAAAAAAATTCTTTGGATTAACCTTCGATTTTTGATTGAAAAACCAAAATGACCAAATTTTTTGACTTTAATAACAAAAATCGAACCGAAAACCAAAATATTCAAGTGGTTTGGTTTTCAGTTGTTGGTTTTTCAACTAGTTCGATTTTTTGCACACCCCTACTTGCCAGGAGTCAAACTTATAAAACACCATCTTAACGTGCTACTTTGTTAAAAATATAATTCAGATTTTACTAACTTTTTTTTCTTTATTATATATTTGCAATCATTTTAAATATTATGATTCTAGTTATTTAATTTAATTAAAACAAATTATATAAATTTTTTTTATTATGATCTAAATAAGATCCACCAACTATTATGTAGTGTGATGGTACATCCGTTGTTATTCTAAATGAGTGGTCACATGATCAAAGTCTGATTGTAGGGAGAAAGTATAAAATAGATACTTCCTTATCTTGTAAAGTATCATGAGTACGAGATTTGTATTCCGTAATTTTTTAGATCAAAATAAAACTTTTAGAATTTAGATATAGTTAAATAATTTTGAAATTGTAATAATAAGTAAGGTAAATTTTTAATTCTTTTACTCACACTTAGAAAATAAATTTATATGGTAGTTATATTACTTGACTTGAAATTATTGGTTAATTCATGGACTTTAGGGGTAGGCATCACAATTATTTCATTGTGGGTAATATACTCAGCTAGATAATTTTAAAAAGGGCAAAAACTTGTTTGAGATCGGCTTACCGTGAGACGGGTCGAGTCGAGATGAAAATGTAATATTTATATGCACAAATATATATACTACTAATTAAGAATAAAATGTTTATTACTTATATGGAAAAATGCAATACTTTAAGGAAAAATGTAATACTTTTACATTTCGATTTAAAAGTATTGCTCCGCACATTTTTTTTCAAAAGTATTATATTTTCTCTTATAAGTAACAAACACTTGACAACATGACTTATTAGGAAAAATGTAATACTTTTAATAAAAATATAATATTTTTACATCAAAATGTAAAAGTATTACATTTTCCCTTTTAAGTAACAAGCACTTTATTCCTGACTTGTATTACAT